ATTGGAATTGTACTGTATTATAATCATCAAGCATGTTGCCTTCTTTACTACTTGTGCGAAATTAACAATGGCATTCACATTTACCAGTTTAACTTTGAACTATTACACTTCTGTTTCCGGATGTGGTTATGGTTTCGGTTTTGATCAAAAATATTGGCGGATCGGCGGATTTGGTGAAATAAAGGCACGGAACAGCGGATTTGCATACCCCTATTCACGGATTTAACGTTAAATCCGTAAGCCAGCTTACAATACTTTATCCATGGACCGAAGGAATTCAAGGCGCGAGTGTTCAGCAAACTGCATAAAAGACAATAAACTTGTACCGTTGTTGACCACATTGCTTTAGTGCACGGAATCATTATTTTATGACTAAGAAAGGCTTCCTGATAATGGGGATCAAGTGTAGTTTGCTTTGGTTTGTATAACTGAGGATAATTCTAAATACAAGCCCCCGGGGGCTTACGTTCGGAGGGGCTTATTACAAGAGACACATGTAGCATAAAATGGCCATTTTGGGGGGATATAGCCCTTTAGAGAGAGAACACGTCCTCCATGTCTGCAATTATTGCTGGGACAATCACCAAAAAACTCACGATGGAAGGTAGGAAATCAACAACCAACACATTAATTTCAAGTTTATTCAAAACAAAACAATTGCATACAAGCCTGACTTTACACGTACTTCAGCCTTAATTTTACCATGAAGTTCAGAAGCTATTCCACACTGAATGAAAACACTAAATTCCAATGTATACTGCGTCAGCTGGCAGTTTACATATTGTTAGAGAACAGTACACAGTACATCTCTCAAGCTTCCAAATCCAGACCCAAACCAATCTTGTGTCCACCTTGATTGAGATTCTTGGTGTCAATCAATGAGGACAGTGTGACCTTGATTCCATCACGCAGGCGCTGGGTATATGCCATGCCTACTTGGCTGGTGTTGTTCACCTTAGTCTGTTATGTAAAGATTAATGCAAGAATGAGTTAACAAGAAAAGTTAGAAGTTAAAACTCTAGACGTGTAGAAATTTGTTGAATGATATCACAAGTCACGCCAGCCCTTTGCTTGCTGCATGAAGTTCTTAAAGTGCCTATGAAGTAAAAAATAATTGCTGCTTATTTTTTCCTGTTGTCTTGCTCACAGACTTTGTAACATGAAGTTGATTACCACAATTTTTTCATTGTTTTCTTTGTTTTTTCACCCTTCAAGCTGACAAAGAAAGTAAAGTGGGCTATTCAGGCTAGGTTCTAACTGCAAGGATGTAGCTAGGAAAAGCTAGTACATTAACAAGCCCAGTCAGCTTTTGTGGCCAGTGCACCATAAAAGTTACGACTAAGTCTTGTTCTTTTTTTAGTGAAATTTCAGCTGGGTATAAACTCTCTTTCAGCCTTAAGCCACCTCTTGGCTACATCCCTGTTAACTGAAATGAAATAAACAGTAGCTTGTAGTGTTGTTTTCACCTACCCTAATAGATGTATCCTTGTCTATATCATACTTGCAGCCAACTTGGAATGACGTGCTGCTGCTACCAGATGCCCAGTTGAGCTGAGCAGCAGCCTCAAGATTGCTGTTGATCTGTAAGAAGAAAAGCGTAATGGTTTTTGAAGGGTTAAAGGATCAATGTTGTTGTCATCAGAGTTTTATTCAATTTTTCTTAATTTACCTTGTGATAAATTGATCCAGTGAATCTAGAAGCATCATTCCTACAAATAAGATAACATATGAAGAATTTTATCACAATAATATATATTTTAGCCAATACAGAATTCGAAAACAGCCCCCCCCCCCACTAAGTAAGGCCTCTGTCTAAGTAACAGTTCTCTCAAAAGTAGTGACCCCTTTGAAAATGTTGTCAACAGTACACCGACCACAAGCACACAACTCCACAACCACGCCTAAAAAAATACCCACTACCTGGACAAAACTTGGCGAGCTTTGAACAGTTCCTGGATGATTAAATAAAAAAAGCCTATACTTACACAGATGAGTGAATGTGGAAGTCATCTGACCGATAACCAAACGAAAAGTTGTTGCCAATCAACTTTGACTTAGCAGTGTCATAGGCAGCTTGATAACCTGCCACCCAGCCTTCATATCTGTAAACACAAAAACATGGCATTAGTAGTATCCACAAAGATACACTTGCTTGCCAAGGCCATCTGGTCACAACACCACAACATGGTGTACAGGACTAGACACCGGGCATTACTTGACAGAAGCTTTCCAGCCTCAGGTTATTATAACCCTGTTACACAAGGCAAAAAGATGGACCAAAATCCCTAAGCCCAACAGACTGACATAACTGACTCAATAAATACTTGCATGAACGACTGACCAATTCTGGACATACAGATGGACAGACTGACTGATCAACCAAGAGTCCAAGTCAAAATTAATGCAGTAAATACTATTACAACAGTTACCCCACAACAGCTGATGCTTGTACTGTCGGTCCAGCAAAATCAAAATCAACATCTCCAGTACCATGGAAGTAATCCTGCTTGTATGCACTCTTTATCTTAGCCGACTTCTTCCTAAAATGTACACATTAAAAACAGAAAGACAGCATTCAAAATCTTCACTCTGATTTGCTAAAAAACATTGATCCACAGATACCAATCTGTTGATTAAAAATGCTGGGAAGCTCAGTTTTTGTAAGAACGTCAAGTCAGTGAAGCCTCACGAAGTTCACCACCTCGCACAGAATATGACAAGTTGTCTCTTTACTTGTGTATTCTCTTGTGTTGTATGTAATGGACTTCAATATAGTGAATCTATCATTAGGCAAGCTTACACCACAAATGAAGTTGTTACAAATACTGTAATTTCCAGCAGTTTACCCGCACGGCAGATGACCCGCACCGGTCGTTTTTTGCCAAAATGAGAAAAAAGATTCAGCAGATTACCCGCACTGGCAGATAACCCGCACCAAAAAACAAAAGAAAGTTATGCTA